CAAGAATTAACGGTAATGTCTTACTTAACGTTAATTTAGTGTCGGCAAAAATGGTAAAAGTATATAACCAATAAAAACCGACCAGAATTATCGTTATGCAGGAATAACGGTTATTACTTCATTTTCGTTAATCGTTAAAAGCTGCAACTTTAACAAATAACTTAAATAACATTCAAATGTTAAAGTTAAGTTATCACGCCCTGCATGGATCGTCTCTGTGAGAGATGATACTCTGGACCACTCATTGAGCTTAGAGAACAGATCGGGCAAGCCCTTCACAACCCGTACTATTTCATGCGAAGAGTAGATGACATGACACTGATATTCAATGCAGGACGGATGATGTTTATAGCTTTGAAGTAATGCAATTAAACACCGGTAGCAAACCGTGTGCTCAACCTCGCACATTTCACTGCGGAAAGCTCGTGTGGGCAAAACAGTCTGTCAGGATAGGAAAGATGCAAAATTTTAATTCTCAATTTGATTCACTTATATTCAAGGAAAATAAAAGAAACATCGTTAGTCAACTTACACCATTGCAATGAGTTTGAATCGGGCACGTGACATTAAGGCTCCCTGGGATGGAAGTAAATTGAGACCTCTCTTTCAGATCATACGTTTTCATGACATCTCCGACATCAAATGACTTCCGGTGGTAAGTAACAGTTTTCACCAACAGGTGCTTCGGCTGCCTGGAGCCAGGAGTTCTTCTTTTGAGCAAAACAGGTTCATTGATGGGGAGACGGTCCGACTTGGAAGGATTTGCTGACACACTTCTCCAAGAAAGGTCGACACCATCCATGATGGTAAGCTTTTTTGGCAGCTGAAGCACCAGGTCATTGAGCAATGCCTCCAAGTTATCATTGAGAGTTTTTCCAGGGTTCCACTGATCGTCTATTGCTGCTGCAAGCTTGCGTAGCTGGAATGAAAAAGGACAGATTTAGTGATTTTATAATTGGCTGAGAGAATCGGATTACAGGGGGAAAAAAAACTTCAAGAAACGAATCGTGGAAACAGATGCTCTAAGATCCGATGCGATGTGTCTCCATTGCAGTGAACACGACCCATGCACCCTGCGTCGCCAGCACAAGAGAGCCGGCACAAATAACATCGTCAAACGAAGGCGCACGGTGCATGGGTTGTCAAAAACTAGCTATATGTACGCCAGACCACGTCTCGCGTAACAGGCTTCGCGATATATCACGAAACACTGTTACGCTGCGACGCGCCTGACGCACATATAGCTAGGCCTGCGGCGCTGACACCCCAGACGAGTTAAATTTTACGATTTAATAGACCATTTTGTCGTTTTTACCTTATTTTCGCTAAGATATGCTCGCTAGCACCCAAACGGTGCGAGATAGAGCAAAACGGACAAAATTTTCGCCCAAAGGGTTCTACTTTCACGAGTTACCCCTTAGAAGCCCATAAAAAAATATTTGAAAAAACAAATATTTTACAACCTGTGGTTTTTGATTTTTTAAAAAGCCAAATTTTGAGCTAGAATGCTCATCTTGAAACTCGATCTGTCTTTTTATGATACAAACCGACCCTGAAAATCCCAGGTCGCTATCTCAATTCTTTCTCGAGTTATCGTGCGGACAGACAGACAGTCAGACAGACAAACAAACAAACAGACAGACAAACAAAATGAAACTTTTCCGGTCAGTGGAGTAATGGGCTTCGCTGATCGCTCAGCCAATAATGGGGCTGCCACGAGTCAGTGCGTCGAAGAAATAACCCACATTAGACACTCACCAGCTTAAACTGCAGCCAAGGACAGGCAATCACAGCCTCGTATTGAAAAGGCGAAGGATCTTCAAGTTTGGTAATACGAACTTCAACGGGTGGCAAGAAGTTCACCTCCACCGTCTCACCGTCTTGAAGTTTCACACGAAGACCTTCCGTGATCGGGATTCTTAAGTTCACTATAGTAATGTCCCCGGGTAAAGTAAAAACTTCACGGCTTGACAACTCATAAACTTGAGGAGGTTCGTTTCCAGAAGCCACAGCCATGATAGAAACAAGGTAGATGTACGCCAGACCACGTCTCGCGTAACAGGCTTCGCGATACCTCACGAAACACTGTTACGCTGCGACGCGCCTGGCATACATCTACCTTGGCCTGCGGCGCTGACACCCGAGTCGGGTAG